TATAAAGTTGATAGCGAGCTAGGACAACTTTTAAGGAAGGTACAAATCGGTTTTATCATCTCTCTTTACCAAACTCCCCCTTTGGAGAGGGATGGTGAGGGGTGTCCCTCTCCGCCACCACATTAATTAAGTTAAAAGGTTTGCTATTTTATAAATTTTTAACTGAGCTGAATTTAAGCTAAGTTAAGTTACTTGTCTCTAACTGATAAAAGCCACTTATCTGTCATATTTTTGCAACAATAAAGGAACTGATTTTCTAATTTCAAAAATTGATTCTAAATTTTTGGGTTTATTAAACAAACACCTAATTTAAAAAGAAAAAAAAATAATTGTACATTTTGGAGATAAATTTCTAAACCATTTATTTTGTTAATGATTAATAACATATTTATAAGATTGAATAGAGCAGCAAACATAACTTCGTAATGAAGTAATGAAATTTGGTTGTTAGCGGAATGCTTAAATAAAACAGCAAAATAAGTTACCTTCCATTTAATTTCACTTAACTAATCCATGACAGATACGTATTTCGACTACAATGTGCAGTCTTTATCAGTATCATTCCCACTAAAGACTTATCAAAAACCTAACCCCCTTAAGTACTCATCGGACGTCTGGAAAGGCCCGTGTCATCAGCGAACAAAGATTTGTGGAAAACCCTGAGACAAATAAAGGAGGTCCGAAGTGAAAATGTTATGCAATAAAGGCCCAAGAATGCTACCCTGAGAAACTCCTGCTCTAACAGGTACTCGTTCAGATTTGGAATGTTGATAATTTACCTGCAGAGTTCTGTCAATTAAATAATTTTGAACTAATTTCATAATATAGAGCAGAAAATTAAACTTTTTTCAATTTAGCAATTAAACCTTTATGCCAAACACTGTCGAATGCATTTTCTATGTAAAGAAGAGCAACTTCAGTTGAGCAGCCTTCAGATTTGTTTGAACGAGTTAAGTTTGTAACTATTAAGAGTTGATGAGTAGTTGAATGCCCATGGCGATATCCATACTGCTCATTTGCAAAAATTGAGTTCATATTGATGTGAAGCATCATTCTATTCAAGATTAGCATTTAAAATTGAAGAAAGCAAACTTATTGGGTGGTAGATTGAAGCTTCAGCTGCATTCTTATCCGCAAGGTTGCAAAGACTCATTTCAGCTAAAACAATGTTTTTCTAAATTATGAAATAATTAGATGCCATGATCAAATTTTGAATTGGTAGGATACAAGAAGAGGTTGCAAAGAATGTGTTTGACATATTAAACCTGTTTATTTCACTTCATGAGAGTCACAATCAGCGATTTTTCACAAACTCACTCACTCACTCACTCACTCACTCAGCGATCAGCAAATCGCTGATTGTGACTCATAGAAAGCAAAATTTACAGGTTTTATGTTTCCAACGCATACTTTGTAACCTATTCTTGTAAGTTACAAGTAAAACATGCCATCATACCATCTTTTGGTTTTATTATTCCGAAAAACATTATTTTAGCTGAAATGAGTCTTTGCAACCTTGCTTATCCGGCTTCAAATTTGGATCAACTTTTTCATTTTTCATTTATCAGGAAAGTATGGTAAATGGAAACATTTAAAAGACAAGGTACTGAGTTTTGACGTAGGACTACGTCTGTGATTTTTATATGGGGGTACACTTTGTGAAAACCGAAAATGGAATATGTAACAAAATTATGAAAGATTTTGAACGTAAATGCTGCCCCTGGACCCCAATTTCAATAGTTTTATCGCCAATGGATCAGAAATATTTCTACGCATCCATTAAATTAAGAAATTTATCATTTTTCACAATGCTACTATTGAAAATTGCACGAATGTGCAATTGTTGCGAAAAATTATCACCGATTGCCTACGAAAAGCAATTTCCCTAACACAGATTTCAAAGTTGAATTCCATCCGGTTTCACCAAACGGTGTTTTTTCAATCACCGGTGAGTGGTGAGTGGTGGTGGTCTCCAGTTGTGTACGAAAGGCTCCCCGTAAGCAGCGAGCTTCAGCCCACATGAGCATTCATAGAAGAAGGAAGAAGCCGCACCGCTATTGATCGGAATCAGTAGCTCTTCGTGAGTCGCTGTGGGCCATCTATGTCAAGCGCTTCATACTAAAGAGTATAAACAGAGAGAACTCCGCTCAAATTCCTATTCCTACACAAAACCACTGGCGTGCACAGGGTGGGGCAAGGTGGGGCGATTGCCCCACCTTTTATGAATAAGATTTTTATTTTCACGTTTACAAAATTATGATATAAAATAACTTTCTTGATAACTTGATTTGAAGGTAAAATAATTTCATTTCATAATAGAAGGGCACTGGAAACCTTTTATTGCGTCAATTACTTCGAGATGGTGCCTGAAAATTGCACCACAAAGGTGAATGAAGGGACAAACTTCAATTAAATTTTTTGTTCAAAAAATTGCACCACAGTGATGCATACAAAAACATTCTTATGCATTTTTTTTTCAAGGTGGTTCATGGAGGGTTAAAAGAAGAGGGTAAATTTAAGGTTGGAAAAATTCACCTTCGTGGTGGTAAATCGAAGAAAAAGCTTTCTATTGATTTTTTCTGGTGTAAAAATATCATCAAGGTGGTGCATGGAGGGACTAATCAAAATGAATAACTCTGGTGGAGAAATTGAATCACGCTAAAAATTTGGAGGTGCACATTTAACTGAAAATTTCTGGTAGAAAATTCGCAACACTGTGGTGAATGTAGAAGCAAGGTTTATTCATTTTTCTGGTGGAAAATTTGCACCATTTTGGTGCATGAAGAGACATAGCCTGAAAATTACACCACAAAGGTACATGGTGAAACAAACTTCACTGACAATTTTTGGTGCAACGTTCTGGTGAATTGAGGAGCATGCTTTATTGAAAATTTCTGGTGCAAAATTTGCATCGCGCTGATAAATGAAATGAACAGAATATTTCTGGTGGAAAACTTGTACCGGTATGGTAAATGAAGACACAAGCTTTATTTAAAATTAAGCTATGTTGAAAATTTCTGGTGGAAAACCTGCACCGTTCTGGTGAAAAGATGGGCAAGCTTTTTGGAAAAATTTGGGTCTTTATTTTGCATCCTTCTGCTGAATAGAGAAACAAATTTTAATAATAATTTCTGGACTAAAATTTTCACAATTCTGATGATTTGAGGGAAGCTGCTTTACTGTAGATTTGTGATGAAAGATGATAGGAGAAGCAATCTATATTGAAAATGTCTGGTGGAAAATGGAAAAAGAAAATCTGCACCTATCAGAAGATTGGAGAAGCAATTTTAGGTGAACATTAACGGTGGAAAATTTGCATCGTTCTGGTCAATTGAAATTTTTTGGTTTAAAATTACCTGGGGTAAGTTTGTATTGAAAATTGTAGTTTTTTGATGACAATATACAAAATTCCATCATCACCTGAAGCTTTCATATTTTGAAACTTTTTAGTTATAATTCTTACTTCGCTCCAGGATCATTAAAAATAACTTCACGAGAGGAAACATTCAGAAACTCCTGAGCAACCTGACTCTCAAAGCACTAATCCCTTATTGTATCATATGACTAAAGAGGCTACAAAATATTACCAAAGAAATTCAAACGTCATGTAGAAAGGCTCTCATATATCTGCTAGTAGAGCTCGCTCTAACCCTACTCTAAAAACGACCCTGGACACCACGCACTCAAAATCAAGTTTTCCCACTCAAATCTAGGTGATCAAGGGCACTACTACACGACTAGACTGCGACTCAAAGATTCTATAATTACTCGAAAAACGTCTGGAAACAGCACCCCGGAAATTTCACAAACTAAACTCTAAACAAACCAGACGTCCTTTCCTGTTCCGAGCCATCGCACCAAACCACACTCCGAGAAGCCAAAAAGTGGTAACATCATCATCAAATTCTCGTCGGTAACCGAACACCACATCCGGAGTTCAAGCCAGTTATATCTTCGTCATTTGTGTCGCCATCATCCATCCCCGACATAATCTGCCAGTCAATCAACGCGAGATTGTGTTACGCCCCCACAGGGTTCCTTATTGCTTGGAATTTTAGTTTCTTTCCTAGGTTTGAGTGTTTCTCGAATATGGCGAAGTATGACATAATTGCTGCAATGTTCCCCCATCCTTCGATGTTTGGCTCGAGTTTGTGCTAGCATTTCGGATGCGCCAAACAAAAAAAAACAAATGGGAAAACTCCCATAAAGCAACATACCCAAAACCTACACACAGCTTTGAGCTGTGTAAAGTTTACTGGTGGAGGGACGACATTCATTGACGGGGAACAGGCTCCACAGCTGGTGTGGATTGGCCGGGTCGGGCCGGCCGGTCCCGGAGTGTGGTGAAATCATCGCCATCATCTGTTTCTGCTGCTACTTTCGATCCGTGTACAAAGGATCATAAAGCAGGAGCGAGAGATAGAGATAGATGATTGTGTGTTGCGATGAGATGGCACATTCGGTTCCTCGGACGCGGCGCAATATAGCTCTGTTCTAAAAATAGATTTTCCTCAGTTCCATAAAGCGGACAGGATGGGAGTGCGTGAGTCAGTATGTGTGTACGTGGCAGTAGACGTCATAAAAGTTGCAGTGACTCTGGGTTGGTGGGTAAAGCAAACGCCGCACACACACACACACTGAGCAACTGAGCTTTTACACACGGCTCCGAGCCGGACCAATCGGGTATGTGATCGGAAGCTTTCACTATATCGGCTGCTGATGAAAGAAAGCTCACCGGTGGGGTTTGTCGCATCTACATGGATGATACACCAATACCAACAGAGGGGGTGCAATAGCTCAATGAAGCTCGCAATGGATGATTGGAGCGGGTTGGGAAAGGGGGTTTTCCGAGTGGGAGAAACGTGAGCGGTGAAATTTTCATTCAGAACGTGTGGGCGATAGACGTGCGGCTTCGGGTGAAAAACCGAACCGAAACCGAGTCGAAGTCTATAAAAGGTACCGATCTGCTCGGATATCAAACAATTTGCCAGTGACTACCAAAAGGAAAAGTGGTGCAAGAATACGAGAACAAAGGTGCTAGAGAGGTGCTCCCACACTGACAGTGAATTTTTGTGTGTGAATAGGTGGACTGAATTGGTGGCAAGGAAAGCGACCGCGTGAAAGGAAGAGAGTGAGTGCCGCGAGGAGTACGACGGACGGTGGAGGATGTCGATCAACTGACACCCACGCAGATGAAAATTTTGCTTCCTACACACAGAGTAGCAACAACGGTGGCAGAGCATAAGCAGAAAAAACTGGAAAATTGATTTCTATACAAATCAAAGTGCAATAGTGAAGTGATAGAATATTAAGGACTCCTTAAGTAACTGTGTGTTTGTGTGCAAATTATATCGCAGCCGATTTGAGTGTGGAACAATCTTCTGGATAAAGTTAACCTACCGTACCTAATTAGGATCCATCCAGGGTGAGTACTCCGTTGCAACATATGCTCATCGGTTCGGTTGAATAGTGACCCAAATTCTGACTCGTCACATCCTGTGTACCAACAGCGACCGTTGCCATCATCTATAACAGGCAATTCGTGTAAAACCTGTTGACATAAAATAGGTCATTCGACCGTGCTGAGCGAGGAGAATGAGTTCCATTGCGTGCATGTACCCTGCGAGCCCAAATTGCCAGTGCTGTTGTGTATTGGGTCATATTTGGAATTTCCACCACCACCACTACTTCGACGAACGAATGCCAAAAGCGGATTAACCCATTTTGTGTTTTCAGCTGCACGAATTCCCATTCGGCTGCTGCTGCTGGCTACCGGACAATTACCCCCTCGTGCAAACCATTATCGCAGGGAGGACTAAAAATAGAAACCAATATTTCCACCCGGAGCAGCTCGGAGCCAAGCATCCGGTCTCATTGGCTGGAACGTGTGCCGCATATGTTTTATCTATCGGCAGTCCTTCCCCACAGCGGATGAAGATTCCAGATAGCTTTTTCACTTGATTGTGAACCGATTGTAATCAAGCTGAGCTACTTGTTGTTGTTATTGAGGCCTTGGACCCTCGAACGGATCATGCGCTTCCCTCGCCGACTCAAGTTCCGGTGCGGCGCTAGTAAAACCGAAATCCACATTACCCCCTCCATCTCCACCTGTATCCAATAAGTCGATTTAATCAAACGGTTCTCAATCCCATCACCATCCAATTAATCGCTCCGACGACGATCCAGCGCCATCGAAAGCGATTATCAATATGCGCGTCATACGGCTTGGATGTTTTTGTGTAACCAACAGTTACTGTCCTTCTTGGAAAATTTTCCCATTGCGGTCGCCTATTTATCCTACTTCCTATCCTCCAACCCCTCGACAACAAAAAAAAAGAAGGACATGTAATGTTCTTTGGTTGAGATCTGCTGAGATGTGGATATTTCGTCCCCCCCCCCCCCCCCCCCGGGATGACCTTCCCAGGGAGAAAGAAGTGTCCTTTTTTATTATAATCGAAAGATTTAGAGGTGTGATGGAATGAGGATTCAATGGCAAAGGCCGAAAAGTGAAATTCGAGTAAAGTTTGAGTTTTTATCCGTAACGATTTCGCCGTAATAAGATCAGCGTTGAGTGGTTTGCGGAATGTTTCATCGGATCATCCGTCGGCAAATATTGGCCCGGGATCAGTCGAAGGGATTTTGGAAGCGTCAGGGTGAAATTTGAGAAATCCTCACCGATTGAAGAGGGAAAAAAGGCCTTCACTGGAATACTTTATAATAACCTTGCAAAATTCTACGCAATTGAAAGGAAACGTTGCTCTTCAAAAATGATTTCACAATTGCTGTAGGCTTCGTTAACGACGTCATCAGTCGTTCAGGAGTATTGTTTTTGAGGGAGGGTTCCAATCCCGCTCCAATCGGTTGAACTTTTCATTTAAGAAAATGTCCCTATTGTCCCCCCTAGTTGAGTATTCAGTCTTGTACATCCACTGCAATGATTGTAGATAAAGGGTGTACCGTTTAAAATCCGCACACACAAAATTCATTCTCAAAATTCGAGTTTGTATCCGATTATCACCAAATTTTCAGGGAATAAAAAGAAACAATTAAAGTTAGTTTAAGTTAAATTAATTTATTTTACTAACCTTGGCCTTAACCCCAGCCATAAGGTTTTGCACGACCTCAGATTCAACAGTTTTTTTGCATATTAACCCATGCTTTCTTCATTTTTGCTACATTCTTCACCACTTAAAGTCGTTTTCGAAGGCGTTCCTTCATAATGGCACAGTATTTTTCTATTGGGTGCAGTTCCGGAGTGTTCAGGGGGTTCAGATCTTTCGGCACGTAATCGACTTCATTCACCTTATACCACTCTAGCACGTCCTTTGTGTAGTCGCATGATGCCAAATCCGGCCAGAAGATCGTCGGATCGTCGTGAGCCTTCCGAAGAGGGAGAAGCCGCTTTTGGAGACAGTCTTCCAAATACACCTGTCCATTCATGGTGTTTGCGGTAACGAAAGCTGTACTCCGCTTTCCGCTGCCGGTGTACTTCGCAAACTAAGAACTTCTTGACAAACTTCGACATCTTTTGTGTCCGGAGGTTCTCGGGAACATCACACTTATCCTTGGCAGTAACATACAGGATTCCTGGAATCTGGTTGAATCTGGCCTTCACATATGTCTCGTCATCCAGTTTCGTTAACTTCTGGTCGTACAACTTCCGGGCACGGCTTTTTGCGACCGTATTCTGTTTCTCGTCACGATGTGGAGACTTCTGAACCTAAAACGTGCGTAGTCCAGCTCGAGTTTTGGTATTCTGCACGAAATTCTTGCTCACAGGCAATTTTTTAGCCACATCTCGAACTGAGACGTTCGGTTTCGTTCCGTTCCGTCCCAACCACGCGTTCTCGTTGACCTGACGGCTTCGAACCGTTTATGATACCAGAAACTGAGGAACTCGCGTTCCCAACTTTTTTTCCAATGGCACGATGCGACAAATCCTTATTCTCAAAATACTCGTGCAAAACTTTTTCGCGCACGCACTGTTCTTTCGTCGCCATTTTGAAAACTTTTGCGCACCCGATGAAATCAACTCACACACGGCGAATGAGAACGACCCAAATTTCACTCATAATCGCCAAAAGCGCAGGAACTCAGCGATGAGTAAAATTTATCTCATGGTTTCCTGTGGAAAACCTAAAAAATCTGCCGGAAAATGAGGAAATTGATGATAGTTTTATTCAGTCTCGGAGTAGTACCAATAGACTGAGTGAATCCAATCTTTAATTTTCTCAAATTCGGGAATTTTTCCCTGGAAAATCCTGGAAAAAACCTGGGAAAACATGAGACAAATTTACTCATCGCTGAGTTCCTGCACTTTTGGCGATTATGAGTGAACTAAACTCAAATTTGGGTCGTTCTCATTCGCCGTACAGATTGTAAACAATACACATTAAACTTTGTGTACGCAAAATTTCAATAAATTTTACCCAACGGATCAAAAGTTAGAGCAATTTGAGTGTGTGCAGATTTTAATCGGTACACCCTTTATATTAATGACCTTTAAAAATATTACTTGATATGTTTCAAATATAGTACTAAAATCACAAATTTTCCAACAAATGTTCACCCTTATTCAGTCTTGTATATCCCCTGCCAGATATTCAGTTTTAAGGTTTTGCTCATTAACCGCCATGAGCCTCCGTTATTCAAAACTTATTATTTTTGTAAATTTTAGCTCTGAAACGAAAAACCATACATGACTGAATGTTTGATAAATTTTGTACAAAGGCCAATTTTTCAAGAAACATTATAACATAAAATAGAACCTTTAGTCCCGAAACCATGAAAATCATGGAAATCGATTATAATCAATATTTTTCAAATAAAGTTCATATTCATATTTTTCCTAAAAACTTATCTTTCATTTGAAGATCATTTTTAAGGATCATCTTAACACGGAAGGGGCCACCCTCATTACGAAATGAAAAAAAAATACTGGTCTATTCCTGATGAATAGTCGAGTATTAGTACAAGACACTGAAGAAGTCTGCACATTGTAGACGAAATACGCGTATCTGTCAAGGATAAGCAAATAAAGTAGTGGAATTAAAGGGAAAATACTAATCCTTCTCTCTCTCTCATTATACTGGTCTATTATTTTTCGGTAAAGAACAAAATTGGTATTTGTTGCGAAATCCTCAGTACCACTCTAATTTCTTTTTTCAATGGAATTGCTGAATATTAATGGTCTTTCAAAATATGATTTAAAATATTTTAAATACATCACCAATTTTCCAACAAATATTCACCCTTATTCCTGTTGTCTAACGAAATCGGATACACACGAGCATGAGCATGAGCATGATTGACCGCCCATGGTTGCTACTCTCTTATTGCCAGATCAGCTGTAATTACACAAAGAACCAATAGACGATACTTGGGACTAGCAACCCAGGTAACAATTTGATGCTTAACAAGTGTTGATTAATCGATTTTAATTCAGTCTTAGATTGAATAATTGCTGTTCATAGACCACGTTAACCTTTGTCCAGCTTTTAAACATCTAAATCTGGTGATTTTAATCAGCCAAAAGCTTAACAGTAATATACATTATAAGCTTTTAAAGGCATTAAATAACAGTCTTTTCCAACCCTTGTTCAGCTTTCTAGTTTTATTTAAAAAATTATAATGGAAGACCGCTTCATATATTATGCATTTAAAGCAGTTCCATGCTTTAACTTGTTGCTGACTAATTGGATTAACATATTTTTATTGTTAATATAAGCCTAAAAAATTACCTTTGCATTTCGGGATTCGAACCGGCAGTCGCTGATTCATAGGCGTCAACCATACCTACTGGACCATTTAGGCATATGTGTGGTAAAAGGTATGATCATTAACTTGAAGCAGCTCAAATTAAAGTTGAATAACAGCAACTGGAAGAGTATTATACAGCAATGCAGAATTGTAAACAACAATTGTTAAGCCTAAAATTGTTACCTGGGTGGTGACAGTCAAACATTCCTCTCATTTTCAAGTGCACTTAGCACAATGTGGACACAAGCACGCGATTTATTTTGATGGTCATTTGGATAATTGAGTAATATTTTTGGAATGCGGTCTGAAAATTCAGTACAATATAAAGTGGTGAACAGTCAAAACACAGAAGTACCTGGAACTATTGCTAAAAATCTCCTTATCCTTGTCTCTACTGCTGCCACAGCTTGTGATTAGAAAGGTAGGCAGTGAATTTAGTAGAACTAAAATTCCGGACATGCAACGAGTGACACAGACACTGACGACATTTAATAAATTAAGCTATCAAAATATATGTAACGCATTGCTGATTTGTGGAGTTGTGTTAAGCTTAAATAAGGCTTGTTCAATCTTTGGATCAGCTAACCTATTGAGGTTGGATTATGGGGATACAATTCGTTTCATGCACTACTAATCAACTATATATTCAGCCTGATGTTAATCAGC